TCCAAAAAGTGTGGAGTCCATGAGAATTTGAAAATCTCTATTCATTTCCCCCGTTTGATCAGGATTCTCCTACAAAATCTTTGATCAAAAAGTTCAGTCATGGTAGCCAGGCACCACATAGTTCTTCTGATCTCAGGGCCAAGGAGATAGTTGTTCGTGGAGGCAATTAGCTATGCATTCCATTTCCTCCTCCTATTCCTGACTCTCCTTCTTCCTCTGATACTCCAGGGGAATAGAGACCAGTTGTTATACCTTTGATGACTGCTTGGAAGCTTTAAAGACCCCAGACACTACACAATGAACTAAAAGATAAACAGAAGCACTAAACAAGGTATTAGGTCAACTAACTGTGATGTCCCATGAAACCATGACTGTAACATCCAAGCCAAGGAATGAAATTCCATGAGCTATTTGGTTGTACATACGTGGCCTCAGCAGCTATTCTTTTTGTTGTTGATGATGTTGTAAATATAACGTTTGCCAATTCAATCTTTTACAAGTGTACAACTTATTGACACCACTTACACTAATCAGTTGTGCAACCCTACCCTTAATCAATGCAATTTTTCCATCACTGTAAACCAAAACTCAGTACTCCATAAGAATAACCTTCCCTTTCCCCCTCCTAACCATCCCTGGTAACCACTAATACATTTTGCTATCTATACATTTGCCCACTCTTGTCTTTTTATGTAAGTGAGATCATACAATATTTACCCTTTTGTGATTGACTTATTTCACTCAGCACAATGTCTTCAAGCTTCATCCACACTGTAGCATGTATCAAGACTTCATTTCTCCTACAGGCTTAGTAGTTTCCATTGTATGTACGAGGCACATTTTGTTTATCTACCCCTCTGCTGATGGGCTTTTAGGATGCTTCCACCTTTTGTCTATCGTGAATAGTGCTGCAATGAACATTGTTGTACAAGTCTCTGAGTCTCTGCTTTCAAGTCTTTTGGGTATATACCTAGGGGCGGAATCGCTGGGTCATATGGTAGTTTTATTTTTAGTTTTTTGAGAAACTGCTACTGTTTTCCATAATAGCTGTAACATTTTGCATTCCTACCAGCAATGGATAAGAGTTCCAATTTCCCCACATCCTTGCCAACATTTGTTATTATTATTATTTTTTAATCTTAGCCATCCTAGTGGGAGTGAAATGGAATCTCACTGTGCTTTTGATTTGAGTTCTCTGATGGCTAATGATATTGAGCATATCTTCATGTGTTTAGTGGCCCGTTGAATGTTCTCTTTGGTGAAACGTCTATTCAAGTCCTTTTCCCATTTTTTGTTTGAGTTGTCTTTTTGTTGTTGAGTTCTCAAAGTTTTATATACATATTTTTAGTTTTTAGATTCTTATCTGATATATGGTTTCCACAGATATTCTCCTAGTTGGCAGCTTATCTTTTCACTTTTTTGTAATAAACAAAATTTTTAAATTTTTATGACATCCCATATATTTATTTTGTCTTTTGAAGTTTGTGCATTTATCATTAGATAACCCATTGTTAAAAGCTAGGCCCAACAGCCTTGCTCCTGCATTTTCTTATAAGAATTTTATGGTTTTAGTTTGCACATTTAGGTCCTTAATCCATTTTGAATTTGTTTTTATATATGGTGTGAGGCATGGATCCTGTTTCATTTTTCTGCATGTGGAAATCCAGTTTTCCCAATACCATTTATTGAAGAGGCTTTTCTTTCTCCTATTGAATGGATTTAGCATTCTGGTGAAAAATCAACAGACCATAGATGTGTGGGTTTATTTCTGGACTCTCAATTCTATTTCACTGGTCTATTGTTATACCAGTACCAGGCTGTTTTCACTACTGTAGCTGTATGACATGTTTTAAAATCAGGAAGTACACGTCCTCCTACTTTGTTATTCTCTTTCAACAGTTATTGTTATTTAAAGCAGTAAGTAGAAATTTAGCAATTATTTCAATTATTTAAAGATTGAAGCCAAGGCTATACATACTTGTTTCATAAAATCAATTGCTATGGCTTTACCCCAATCATATTTTCATATACTTCTCTACTTTGTTCAAGTAATTGCTCATTCATTCAATAAATTATTTCAAAGTATTTGTTGATTGATTCCTGTACCCTTCCCAATCCTCACGCAACAAATATACATAATGAAACCTGTGAGAATGGAAAATATTTGCGTTTTCCTTCTCTGACAGATTTCTGCCTTACACAGGTTTCAGCTTTTGCAGGTTTTACTGTATAAAGAACACAGAAAACAACTTTTACTACTTCTTAAAATTTCTTCCCTAAGTGTCCTATAAATAATAGCTGTATAATGCACTTCTCAGTGTAAATATGCACTAGCTATTATGTCAGAATCTGTGTATAAAGTGGTGATTAAGACACGCCTTGCCTCCATGAAGCTTCCAGTCAACTGAAGGAGTGATGTTGAACAAGCTATTACAAATGTGGTGAGCATTAGACGATCCTGAGGTACTGGAGAAATGGGTGTGATATCTAGTCTCAGGGACTTAGGAAGGCCTCTTTGAAAAAGTGAATTCACTCTGGAGGAAAACAACAGATTCCATTTCCTTTCTCTTCCACGAGAAAGGAAAGAAAAAATAAGTTGTTTTTTTAACTGAAAAAAAGAATTTATAATCAAAAGTAAGTAGATAACCCAAATTAAGCCCCTTTCTTTGCTTTCTCTCTGCCACTGCCAAAATACACACACACAACTTTCAGACTTAAGACACAGATTATTTAGATTACCCATCTTTGTTGATCAAACTACTTGGCAAAAGTCTCTTTCCCTAATTGTTGTGTGAATAGGCAATGTATTCTGATATCCTCAAAGCAAATAAAGCATATCAAATATTAATCATTTCAATTCCTTAGAAACTAGTTATTTATTTATTGCATGCAGTGTGTGTGGACTGTAAATGTTTAAATCGTCTCTACCAGAAATAGAGCAGGACTATTATTTACATAAAACACACTGACGTCCACCTACTAAACCCACAGCATAACTGTGGATGGTTCTCCATTCAGGATGTTTCAACTATTTATATTATGAACGATTTTGCCTATTAGTTTCTGATAAATAGTCTTTATCATGTTAAGGAAATCTCCTTTGGTCTGTACTTAAGTCTTTGTGAGATAAGAAGTTAGAGAGAGTGATACAGCCTAACTGTAGAAGGCATGGACTCTAGTGTCAGTAAATTTAAACTGCGATCCGTTCTCTGAAAGTTCCTAGCTTGGTGATCTTGAATCACTCATATACCCTCTCCTAGCTTCAATGTCGAGTGTCCAAAGCAGTGAGCGAGTCTGTGCCACGGGCATGGTATTCGCTGTGAAGACTTCAGTTGCTCTTTGACTTGAGTTTAGGGGGCCAAGAATGAAACAGCAGATGAACCTTCCTCAAAGGTGTTAATGTTAAATGTGTACATACAGGTGGAAACCTTTCGTAGGGTCTCTAGGACTTGTGAAAAAACAATTTTCCTTTTCATATGGGATGAATTGACTAAGTCTCTGCAACTTAGATGAGGGATCATACATGAGTTTATTTCACTGTTGTCCTCTTATTGATTTCTCAAATAAAATTCCTCATCCCTCATACACACACATTCAAATACTGATATTTAAAATATTTGAGGAATCACTAATAGGAATTCCAAGAAATTCAGAAGCTTTTAAGGACTGTAAGAAAATAAACAGAGCAATAAAATTCTGGACCAAAGGTTTGCTGCTTCTTTTTAATACTAACATAGAGTTCAGCATTGATTGGAAATACATTTTACATAATTCGGCTTCACCATTCTGTGCCTTCCCACAGCAGGTTGATTTTATAGAAATATTACTTTCAGCAACTTTCTTTTACTTTTACAAACTCAAACTGTTGTCTCTTTCTCCTCTCTCTCTTTCTGTCACCATACATTACTGGTACACCATGACTCTCTGTCTCAGATGAACACATTCCCAAAGCCTCTACCTTGGTTGAATTAGTCTGCCTTGGTGCTTGAAATACACCACTACAGATCTGGCATTACAGAATAAAAAATTCTCCTGATCCATGCAGCATGTATTAAAAGTCTTATGCCTATATGCTTTTATATTAATAAGGAACATCAATGAACCTCAAATATTTAAGAATATAAGAATACTTATAGTCTTATTCTTTAATGTTCTTCTCTGTCTGTTAATGTATTTGAAGAACAGAATTTAGATGCAAGTACACTTAAAGTCAAAAATCCAATTTATCTCTGAACATACCCAAAGAGCTAAAACCCCTTGCTCATTTGCTCTAAAAAGAAAACATGAATTAGGTCCACTATCCCTGAAATAAAGTCTTCCCACAAAGAGCACGCCGACTTCACTTGCTCCAACCTTTAATACTCAGCACCACACTACACACACTATTTCTAAATTACTGATAATTCTCAAAATAGCCTCTCTTATTGAAGCAGCTTTGATCATTATAAAATATATTTAAAATCTATCCTTCCCTTCTAGGAATTCTGTGTCAGCCTCTAAGAAATAAAATGCAAACACTCCGCAGGTATGACGCTGTCCTCAAGTGGTCCAGTCACAAATCTCTAATATGTGATATTTCATCTATTTTTATGAACATCAATTATTCATTTTTCTCCTTTAACTTTGTTTCTAACTCTACCCTGAGGGAAATAGGGACATCTGAGCAGGCACACACAAAATTATTTAGATGGTACCAAAATTATAATTATTCCTTGAACTTGAAAAAGCATAAGTATCCAGCTGTAACACGGCAATCTAATCTTCAAAAAAACTGCTTTATTTAATAATATATGCCTAAAATTCTACAATCCATTGTAACTATGATCGATAACAATGTTTAACCCAAGGGAATCATAACTGTATTAGCCACGCTACTGAAACTATTTCAATCAAGCTTTGGAAAAAAGCTTTAAACAGGCATTACCAAATATTTATACTCTGCAGTTATTCATGGCCAGGAGTACTGTTCAATCAGTGAGATTTAATTTAACGATGTTTACCTGTGCGGAATCCGCCGGTGACTGATGCAGACTGCAGTCTGAGAATCTTGAGCAATGCATACTTTATGGCGACTACATTTCATCTTTAAGCATGGATCTGTCGCTGGATCTAAAGCTAAAAAAAAGAAAAAATTAAAGATAATATTAAAATAGGTTTCTGTAAAATAGAGATCTATAATCTCATCAAACACAATTTGATCAAGCAGTTTACTTAGCATTTAGCTATAAATCTTCTTCACAAGGTCCTTCTTCTATGAACAGAGATTTTTGCTTAAGCCCATAAACTCAGAGTTAACGGGTAGGTGCAGTTTGATCTCATCCACTCTGTTCATATCCCTATGGTCACACACTGTTTTATTGTACATTGTCTGATCATACTCCTATGATCAAACAATATGTAATCAAAACAGAAATGTTAAGACCAAAACTCTTTGCACTGGCTACTACCCTTTAAGCATTGAAGTTGGGGTGTATTAATGCAATATTTTATGTCAGTGGAGCATTACAATCTATACTTCTGCTTTCCCTAGATAGATGCTGGTGGGATAGATAAAAAGGCTGAAACCCAAAAAGCTGTCAGTGGGCATGACTGAGTCTTTAGTTACACAATAAAAATCTAGAGCTATACTGGGGGCTGACTGAGAGATGGTAAGAGATCTGTTTTCATTAAGGTGCTTTTCCTCAACATGTAAAACACCTGCATTTCTCCAAACAAAACCTCTTTTATGGTGGCCGCCAACAAGGATGTGTGAGACTGGTTTGTGACTTTTTAAAACAGTTTTATTGGGATGTAATTAACAGATCATACAATTCACTTATATAAGGGTAAAATTCAATTGTTTTCAGTATATTCCCCATTGTGCAACTGAGACCAGCTGAGAACTAAATAGGCCTCAGGCGACAAGCTGTGTCAATAGAAAACTTCCGAGCAAACAGAGAGAACATATTGAGACCAAGGTGAGTCACCCCACCTTGTTTCCTTCTAAACTTCCTGCTTACCGTTGTTTTTCAGACAATCCGACTAAAATCAGACTTCACGCGTGCACCGTGAAACAGCAGGTGCCTTAAAGGTGAAGTCGGTCGCCATGTTTTCAGCATACGCCACCATTTTATTGGGAACACACGGATGTCAAGAGTACACGAGGAGCCATCTTGAAGGAACACGGACCTCCATCTTGAGCTACCAATTGCATGCGCAGCCTACATGCCCAACCCCTCCAACCCCTTTTGCATACTATCTCCCAGACATTTAATGAATATGTATGACTTCTCCTTTCTTGCCTAGTGTAAAACTTCCTCCAGCCCTTTGTTTGGCGAGACAGTGCTTTGACAACCATCTCCCTGTCTCCTTGCCCTCTGTAAACAACCATGCCTTGGCTCAAATCTGCATGACTCTTAGGTATTCATAACAAGAGTACAGGCGGGGAACCCACTGTGTTCCCTAACACAACCATCACCTCAATCCATTTTAGAACATTTTCATTACTTAAAATGAAACTCTGCCCATTGTCAGTCACCTGTTTCCTCCAAACCCCTTAATTCCTAGGCAACCACTAATCTGCTCTCTGTATCTATAGGTTTGCCTCTTCTGGACATTTATAGGTATGGAATCATACACTAGGTGGCCTTTTGTGACTGCCTTCTTTCACCTGACATCATGGTTTTGAAGTTCACTCACGCTGTGGTATCTATCAGTAATTCATTCTCATTTATTGCTGAATAAGGTATCTATCAGTAATTCATTCTCATTTATTGCTGAATAATGTTCCATTGTATGAATGTATCATATTTTCTTTATCCATTCATTAGTTGATGGGCCTTTGGGTTATTTCCACATTTTGCCAATTATTAATAACGCTGCTATTGGTAATAGCCCTTGGTGATAGTCGGTGACATTTTGTTGTGATTTACTTTGAGAGGCAGTTTAGAGGGGGAATTGGTACATATAAGGAAAAGGAAGTTAGCTTCACATTTGGTAACATGCCAAATTTGAGAGACATAAACCATGAAAGATGGCAACTTGAGAATAAAATTTGGGTGGATGTAGAAAATCACAGCCAGAGTGATAAGAGGAGTGTGTATTTGGAATATGCAAAAATATGTAAGTGGACTATGGGACTTCCACTGGGCATAGAATATGGATTTGAGGCAATCTTGTTTAGCTCTTAATCCTAGGTTAAGTTCAAGCTGACATCTGGAGTAAAAATCTAATTTAGCTTTATGAATTAATTAAATCACAAGCATATTTATTCAATAATATAAAGTGAATGACTTTTGACAACCTATGACGTCAATAAAATATAAATAAAAGCTATACATATGTGTATACACAAACACATTTTATTGCTTTAAAAATACAAAGTATACTTCTGAAAAACTCTTCGAGATTTCAAATAAGGATCATATCTAAAATAGAAAATACTGACACATGAAGTTGATAAAATATTAATAGCCATCTTATCCCATGATAAAATTGTCAAGATGTAAAATTCATCCATTTGAAGGCACAAATGTTGCAATTTCCTTCATGCTAAGGAAAGGTTTTTGTATGTTTGTTTGTTTATATGTAATTATTAGATCAATTATAACTTTTAGTTTCCAACTATTTTCAAAAATTAAGAAAATCTACATTATTTTATTATCTATAAACACTGAACGTATTTTCTTCACAATGCAAATACCAATTGCTAAAACATTCTCATTATATTCTCACAGTTGATATTGTCACTAACTAAAAAATAATATTTCATCCAACTATTGTACCTTAAAACTGTATTACCTCAGTTGAACAACATATAAGATAAGCATACAATAATTTAGAAGGCATTAAACTGTTTTGATAGACTGAAACTCTTAGTCTACTTTGATTTCTAATTATTAAAATCACTTTGTAAAGTTCCTGAAAAATTAAACAATTTTGCCTAATGACTAAACAATGTCATTACTAACTACCATTGTACTATGTATACATATATGTTATATACTCATTGCAAATGTCTTTAATCTAGGAGATATCATTCTGAAAAAGGAATGTTTTCATTTTCAAATAAAACACAGTAGTACAAAGAAAAGTATCATAATTAATCTAATCTAATTACACTTTGAATGTAGACTATTCATACTTTTTTTTACTTATTCCTGTTTTCTTTACCTAATACAGTTTGTTAGATAATTTTCAAAAGTTCTATGCCAACTCTTACTTTGTATCTATTTAATAAGATAAATCAGAACTCAAACATTAGTGGGCAGAGGGAATGGAATTATCTGAATATAACACATAAAAAGGAATTTAATGATAAAGTTTTGCATAAAATTCTACAGAAGTGATCGAAAAGATCTATAAAAGAGTAGCAATATTTGGCAGGAGATGGAAAATATAATCTAGGAAGTAAATGTTAAGACTCAGATACAACAGAATCTGTGCATGGGTTTAAACCGTCTGTATTTTCAAAACCTCACACGGTTGGCAGCTTAAAAACTACAAAACATCACACACTATAAATACAGATGCCTGAGATTTTATTCTAGAAATCATAACACTAACACAACCATCTTCCTCCTGGCTAGTCCACTGATTATACTCAATCCAGTGTTTTCAAGAGGACTGACATCTTGACAATCGGACATAATTCATCAACTTCCTCTGTTGCTACCCGCTTCTTTCTTTCTTTCCTTTTTACTAGCATCTTCTGTCGTATTCATGGCAACTGGTGTTGTATTCTGTATCACTGCATTTAGCTTACGCCCAAGCATCCAGTACAACTACCTCAAGAAAAATTCCAGCTAGTTCCTCTGAGCTCAGTTGGCCATGTTCATTTCTTCATCCGAATCCTTAACAACCTTTCTGATCGATGTCAACTAACAGACAACTACCCGATATTAAGTTTTATTTTGTTTTTTCAGAAAATGCAATTGAGTTTCAAACAACCTCCTTACACTTTAACCTTTGAGCTGTATTGCATTAGTGAAGTAACTCCACACTCTCACAGGGAGACCTGGTTTTCAGTTCAGAATTCCTTGCTTACAGCCATGCTAAGGTAAACTAGGAAGGAGACCAGCCAGCCTGATACAGTAACTAATGGTGACAGTGACAGCCAGCAGGGGTAGGAGAGCACAGAAAACAAATGTGAGTGTAGACAGGTGTGTCAGTAAGAAAAGATCTAATTCACAAAGAGAAGTCCCAAAGATGAGAAAGGAAACACAGGGACGCACAGTGCTGACAGCAGGTCAGGACAAGACAGCAACATTGATTGCAAGCCATATGTTGAATTCTCTGTGGACCAGAAGGACTACTATGAGTATTCATATTTAGCGCCAATGGTCTTGACAGAACAAAAAGCACAAAGTGTCGTAACTAATGTGCAAAAAGAGACATTAAAATTAGTATCCAGAACTAAAATACACTTTAATAAGGAAGTCTGGAACTCCTAATCTGCACAAGCTCATATGTGGATTTTGACAGTGTTTGCCCGCAAGGAGTGTGGATTGTAAAGGTTGTATTCCTAATGATAATAGGCTAAAGCATTCGTAAATCATGCTGCAGTTTATTTTTGGTGGAGTTGAAGGACCAACCAGTCAGCATCTGGGTCAGCAAATGCCAAAGAAAAGGTTACTCAGATACTTGACAAGTCTAACAAACTCGTCTCTCTGGATATGATTCAGATCCTTGACAAATCAGTCTAACACAAAACAGTAATCTCTATTTCACCTATTAGACTCGTCTATAAAATGATGATCTAAATAATCTCCAATACTGCATTCTGCTCTAAAGGTAGATTATTGTGCTTCAACATACATTTTTGGTGTCAGGTATCTTAAGTCATGCAACTTGCTTTCAACCAATTCAACAATTTTATTGGAAGACTGATATATAATTAGACAATGAAAATACACTAGTAAGTGAATACTCACACATATACAAACACACATACAAAGAGATCATATCTGTCCTGCTGGATGGGGTAGAGGGGATTGCAGTGGTGGGGAATGCTGATTTGATTATTCAAAATCATAGGTAAGTTTTGAAAGATGTATAGGAATCATGAAATCACAAAATGAAAAGACACTCCAATATAGAGGGACAGTATAAGAAGCATAATCATATAAAAAAGGATG